TGTGCGTGCGTGCGTGTGTGTGTGTGTTGTGTGCGTGCGTGTGTGTGTGTGTCTGTGTGTATGTATGTACACATACACGTAAAAACACACACACAAATGAAGATTCACACAAACACAAACACACAAAACACACACACGCACGCACATACTTTACACCCATATACACTACACACGCACATACATCTTTCCCTATAAAACATTCTTTCAACTAACCATTAATCTCTCTCATTTACGCGATGTAGCATAAATAAATATTAAGAAAAAGAAGAAAAAAGGAAGAAAAAATGGAAAAATAATAAACAGCTGTGACGGCGGCCATTTCTTTTTCGCTTCGCTTTTGTTTGTTTGTTTTTCGTCGTTAATTCCCGTGTATATTAAGCTACTTTTTTTTCTCTTCGTGCTTTGTTATTCCACGGTCTTTGGCTGTGCGGTGAGAGAGAGAGAGAGAGAGAGAGAGAGAGAGAGAGAGAGAGAGAGAGAGAGAGAGAGAGAGAGAGAGAGAGAGAGAGTGAGTGAGAGAGATGGGGGGGGGAAAGAGAGGGAGGGGGTGGAGGGAAGGAGATGAGGGAGTGGGGATCGAGGAGGGGATAGAGGGGGAGAGAAGGAGGGGGGGAGGGAGGGAGGAAGGAATCGGAGGAGAGAGGGAGGGAGGGAGGGAGGGAGGGAGGGAGGGAGAGAGAGAGGGAGAGAGATGGAGAGAGAAAGAGAAGAAGAGTGAGAGAAAGAGAGAGAGAGAGAGAAAGAGAGAGAAAGAGAAAGAGAAAGAGAGAGAAAGAGATAGAGCAAGCAAGCGAACTCGAGAAAGAGAACGCGCAAGCGAGCGAAAGACAGAGACAAAGAAAGAGAAAGAGAAAAAGAGAAAGAGAGAGAGACACCTTAATCACCCCTCCCTATCACAATCACCTATTATCTTCCTTTAAGCACAGCCAAGAAATCGTCCTCTGTTTCCCCTCCTGCCCTCTATTGGCTTATCTCCGCCGGTCCTTTCCCCTCAGCCTGCGGTTTTGCGGTCGACCGAGACGGCAAGAATTTATGAGAAACGTGGCGAGCATTCTCACATGAATCACGCGAAAGGGAGGAGAAGGGAGAGAGGGTGAGAACGAAGGGGAAAAGGGGGAGAGGGGAAGGAGAGTGGGAAGAGAGAGAAAGGGAGAGAGGGAAAAGAGGAAGAGGGGAGAGAAGAAAGAGAGAGAAAGGAAAGAGAGAGAAAAGGGGAGAGGGGAAGGAGAGTGGGAAGAGAGAAAAGGGGGAGAGGGGAAAGAGTGAGAAGAGAGAGAAAGGGGGAGAGGAAAGAGAGAGAAAATGGAGAGGGGAAAGAGAAGAAGAGGCGAAGAGAGGAAAGAGAGAGAAAGGGGGAGAGGGGGAAGGGAGGGAGAGGGGAGAGAGGAAAGAGAGAGAAAAGGGGGGGAGAGCGGAAAGAGAGAAGGAGAGTGGGAAGAGAGAGAAAGGAGGAGACGGGAAGACTAGGGAAAGTGCGAATGAGGAAGCAGGGAAAGGACGAGTGGGAATAGGGGGGGCGGGGGAGGGAGGGAGGGAGGGAGAGAGAGAGAGAGACGGCGAGACGAGGAGGAATGGGAAAGAGAAAAAAAGAGGGGGAGAGGAAGAGTGAAAGGGAAGAGGAAGAAGAGATGGATAGGGAGGAGATGGGAAGTAGAATGGAAAAAAGGAACTGGAAAGAACGGTAGGAAGATAGGGAGAAAAAGAGGGGAAATGGAAAAGGGAAGGAAAGTGAAAAACAAGGAGAGAGAAGGGGAAAGGACTGAGAAAAAAATAACCACAGTAAACAGAATGCAAAAACAAAAACAAAAAACAAAAAATAAAGGAAGATCGGAATAAACAGTGAGGAATGAAAAAATGACGATCATATATATATAACAGAACGGAATGAAGAAAGGAAAGACATAGAGAGACACAAAGGGCGATGAAAGACGAACCAGCGAAGAGACAGAACAAGAAAACAAAGGTAAAACAAAATCCCTTCATAAAACAAAAACACAAAAACAAACTACAAAACTAAAAACTCCACAACACCCCCAACAACAAACAAAAAAAAACAAAAAACAATAACAAACCCAAAGCAATCACAGAAACGGAGGAAAAGCAAGAAAAATACGAAGCAAAGAGTGTAAAATCTTGATAACCCTCGAACCAAATCGTACCAACGAGCTGTGAAAATTGCCATAAACCGTAATCTGTACGAAAAGGAAATGAGGATGGAAGGTGACAGAGGCAATTAGAGGGAAAGAGAAAATGATGATTGGGGTGTGGGTGAGGAAGGGAAAGGGAGAGAGGCAAAAGGAGAGGGGAAAGGGAGAGGGAAAGGGAGAGGGGAAAGAGAGGAAAAAGAGAGGTGAAGGGAGAGAGGAAAGGCAGAGGGAAAGGGAGAGAAGGAAAAGGTGAGGGGAAAGGCAGAGGGAAAGAAAGAGGGGAAACCGAGAGGGGAAAGGGAGAGGGAAAGGGAGAGGGAAAGGGAGAAGAGAAAGGAGATGGAAGAGAAGAGGAAAAGGGAGAGGGGAAAGAGAGAGGGGAAAAAGAAGGGAAAGAGAGAAAGAAAGGGAGAGGAGAAAAGGAGAGGGGAAAGGGAGAGGGGAAAGAGAGAAAAAGTTAGAGGGGAAAGAGAGGTAAAGGGAGAGGGGAAAGGCAGAGGGAAAGAGAGAGTGAAACGAAAAGGGGAAAGAGAGGAAAGGAAATGGAATTGGAAAGGGAAAGAGATGGAGAAAGGGAGACGGAAACGGGATAAAAAGGAAGGAAGGAAAATTAAGATAAAAAAGGAAAAAAAAAGAGAAAGGTAAAGACCAGCGAAAAAAAGAAAAAAAAAAAATCAAAAGAAAAGGAATAATGAAACCAAGAGAAAGGAAACCCGGAAAAGAACAGCCAGGAGGCCTCGTAAAATTGAACCTTCAGTGGCGTGCAATTCTAGTGCTAATAGTCATACAGAAAATAACAGATAATACAGTTGTTGATTATTCCGCGAACCACTTATTGGCGCTTGGGGAGTGGGGGGGGGGACATGAAAATTGGTAAGTGCGCTTTAAAAGAGCACCTTGCTGTAATGGAGTTATTAGGGTGGTCGCTGCAATTAAGAATTATTATTTTACGTCTTTTCATCTTTGTCTGTTTGTCTGTTTTGCGCCTCTTTCTGTTCTTGTTCGTTTGTTGATCTTTTGTCTCGGTCTTTTAGTCTCTCCTCCACCCCCACCCCCTCCTCTCTCTCTTCTCTCTCAATCTTTATCTGTCTGTAAGTCTCACAATCTCTCTGTCCATATGATTTCCTTTCTGTTATATACATACTTTATATATCTCTGCCGTTGTATGTGTTTGTGTCTTCTGAATTATATATTACATGTGTGTGTGTGTGTGTGTGTGTGTGTGTGTGTGTGTGTGTGTGTGTGTGTGTGTGTGTGTGTGTGTGTGTAGGCACATATTATTTTCCAGGTGCGAAAAATTAGATGCAAACTTTTACGCATTCCAATAAAATCACAGTATTCGCTCTGATCGAAAAAAAAACCAATCAATTACATGAAAGTTTACAGTGTTAGAACTCAGGCAGCCTTCATAACAGATATATTAAAATCAAATGTTTGACTCCAGGCAACAAGTTGTATATTGCAACAACGGTTGAATTGGACATATTTGAAAATTATTTGACTGTTGTTTTTTTTTTTTGTTGTTGTTACATAAGCATTCATATTAAACAGTTTTTAAAAATCACATATACATGGGAGCAATTATATCGCGGATTTTTACCTATAGTGTGATTATAAGAAAGAGAGAAAGAGAAAGAGAAAGAAGAGAAAGAGAGAGAGAGAGAGAGAGAGAGAGAGAGAGAGAGAGAGAGAGAGAGAGAGAGAGAGAGAGGGAGAGAGAGAGAGAGAGAGAGAGAGAAAGAGAGAGAGAGAGAGAGAGAGAAGAGAGAGAGAGAGAGAGAGAGAGAGAGAGAGAGGAGAGAGAGAGAGAGAGAGAGAGAGAGAGAGAGAGAGAGAAAGAGAAAGAGAAAGAGAAAAAGAAAGAGAGAGAGAAAGAGAGAGAGAGAAAGAGAGAGAGAAAGAGAGAGAGAGAAAGAGAGAGAGAGAGAAAGAGAGAGAAAGAAAGAGAAGGAGATAGAGAGAGAGTGAACGTTTGAGAGCCGGACTTCGACGTCCTTTGGTCTGGTCAAAGATCTGGCTTCCTATCTGTAATTTTTTCCCTCGGATTCCTAAAAGCGGACATCCATGTTTTTCTTCATTTTCACAAATAGTACTCTCTTCCCAACCCCCCCCCTCCCCCATCAGAGTGTACAGAGCAAAAAGATAAATATGAACGCCGCATCGTCACTTTTATGTTCTAAAAAAACAGTACGACAGATTTTAATCCCCCCCCTCCCCCCTCCCCCAGCATACGGTTTATACGCCTTTGAAAATGATGAAAAAAGAAAACGACATAGCGTGGTGGTCCAATTCGCAGGAGAACCTCGATTTATGTTTTTTTTTCTTTTTTTTTCTTTTTTCTAACAGTTTTAATTCATTCGCTGGTCTGAGTTCATCTTCTGAGGGTCATGGGGGGGGCAGGGGGAGGGGGGATATATGACGGTTAATTACAACACAGATATTGAAAAAAAGTATATTTGTGAATTGAGGTTTTGCAGAGACAACGTCAGTTTGCAGAGATTCATATAGGTGCAATTTGAATGCAATTTTAATGTTTACAGAAGTACTTAATGTATAGGAGTGTAGTTAATATGTAATATAAGTAAATATTCACAATGGAACGACTCTTTCGTGTTTCAGGAACTCTAGACACAGAGGGAGCATAAAACTAACTACGCTAAACGTCAAAAGAAGTTTAAACAGGCTACAGAGACACAACGGAAGACTTAACTGAAGCTCCTTCCTTCTTACACTAATACTTTCTCCTACAGCTACATACGTATTATTCCAAATACGGAAATCATGCACAACAACATTATACACTAGACAAATCCCCTTCCACTCATCTTCCGCATATAAACATAACCTGCAAACCAGTCGCATGGTTGGTCCGTAGTGACAGTCCGTAGTAACTCCGTAGTCACATAAACATTCGTGTAAACCAGTCAGCCGGTTGGTCCGTAGTGACTGTCCGTAGCGACCGCAGTGGCTGGTCCGTAATGACCCTGTAGTCACATAAACATTCGTGTAAACCAGTCAGCCGGTTAGTCCGTAGTGACTGTCCGTAGCGACCGCAGTGGCTGGTCCGTAATGCCTCCGTAGTCGTATAAACCAGTCAGCCGGTTAGTCCGTGGTGACTGTCCGTAGCGACCGCAGTGGCTGGTCCGTAATGCCTCCGTAGTCGTGTAAACCAGTCAGCCGGTTAGTCCGTAGTGACTGTCCGTAGCGACGGCCGTGGCTGGTCCGTAATGCCTCCGTAGTCGTGTAAACCAGTCAGCCGGTTAGTCCGTAGTGACTGTCCGTAGCGACCGCAGTGGCTAGTTCGGAATGCCTCCGTAGTCACATAAACATGCCAGCAAACCAATCACCTGGCTGGTCCGTCTCCTACCTCGACAT